GGCTTGAGTCAGGACTGCAGGATGGGGTCCATTCATTCCCCCCATGAAAAAGTGGTGGAAACACTGTCACATAAGTCATTTAAAACTGAGCTAGAAAATGCTGGAGAACGTAATGTGAAGAACGACATCTGTGGTGTCAGAGGCTGGACTGGATGATATGAGAGGTCTTTTTTCATCTCAAATATTGGTGATAAGTTGATCAGTGCATACACTTCCATCCTCTATATAGTTCTATATTATTATGGAACCAGGGGTCACCCCATGAAATTAATAGGCAGCAGGTTTAAAACAAACAAAAGGAAGTATTTCTTCACACAACTCACACTCAACCTGTGGAACTCGTTGCCAGGAGATGTTGTGAAAGCCAAAACTATAGCATGGGTCAAAAAAGAACTAGATAAGTTCCTGGAGGATAGGTCCATCGGTGGCTATTAGCCAAGATGGCCAGGGATGCAACCTCTTGCTCTGAGTGTCTCTAGTCTCTGTTTGCAGAAGCTGGGAGTGGAAGAGAGGAGATGGATCACTCAATGTTCTGTTCATTCCCTTGGAAGCACCTGGCATTGGCCACTGTCAGAAGACAGGATACTGGGCAGAATGGACCCACTATGGCCATTCTTATACAGTGCATTAGGACCTTTCATATGTTTTGACTAGTGTATACAGACAACAGCAGAGACTGTTCAAAGGTTGGACATATACTATGGAGACATGCTGTTTAGTCTATGTGCCCCATCCCACTTTAAAAACAAATACATAAACATCAGTGGTGATCTGAGCTGGAGTTTTCATCATTCTTTTGCTTTTTCTTTCCCATGGAGGACTTTTGACAGCTTACAATGCGTTGCTTGGGATTGCAACCACAGGGTCTGGTTTCCATTGTGGTTGGCCTTCGTAATTTATGAACATAAAAAGTTATTGTACAGGGATAGACATCATGGGGGAAATTCCCATCAACATTTGTAAAGCCGCCATCTCATAGTGTTCTCAATCTCTCCTTAAAAACCCACCCCTGCTGTGATTCCTGCAAATCATGCCCATCTAAGCTTTGGTCATCTCACTATGCTAGAACTTCTATTTTTCTGCTAAAGTCTGTTTTCTTTTGTTACCCCATCCTCCCATCCTCTTCCAACCTGTTGCTTTGGCTTGCCCCATCCACTGAGACCTGACATCTAGGCCTTGATCCTGCAAAGACTGGCCCCACACATTTAACTTTACGCAAGGTGAGTCGTCCCGCTGCCTTCAAAGGGCCTACTCATCATTCCTTTGAAGCCCATGATAAAACTTTCACCAGCTTCAGTGGAGCTTTGATTTCACCCATTGCATATAAAGTTAAGTATGTTTTTCCAAGATCTGGGCCTTAGACTGTAAGCTCTTCACGGCAGCATCTGCCTTTTATATTGTACAGCACCTAGCCCAAAGGGGCCATGACCCTTGTTTGGGGTTCCCAGACACTAATGTAAACACATAATAAATAGTGAGGCCAATATAAGAATCAGCTATACAATCAGATTTTCACTCTTGACTCTCAATCTCTTTGTGGTTTAGACAAGTACAAGGACAAGGACAAAGCAAATGGTGTGTGTGTGTGTGTGTGTGTGACAAGATACCTGCATAGAGAATCAGTTACCTTCCTCCCGCCCCGCTCCCACAATAATCCCCTTGCCTCCAGACTCTAATTAATAGCTAATAATGCTCTAAATCAATAGGCATATAAGTACTTGTAGTATGAACACAGCCACATTTTAGATATATGATCTGGGATGAACTTTTTAAAACTTGGGTCTAGCTACAATCTATAGTGGGTGCTGGGGGAATAGGGCATATAAGAAAATACATCAGTTTAAAATAAACATGGAGCTACATAAAAACCCTGTATATAGGGTATTTATTTTATTCTTTTGTGCTTTATATTATGATTTCTAGTAGTGTTTCAACCTACTTTCAGGACCTTATTGTGGGATTTCTCCCTAGCTGACCGAAGGCAACAGTGTCAAATTCTCCAACTGAAACAAATTTGCCAACATTTAACTATTGGCTGATGTCAAATAAATAAGATAAGAAACACAATGATCTCCAGCTCTCATCCACCTCTGAGGGATGTTCACATTCTAAGGGAAAGTGTTGCAGGTCAAATCCGACTTTTAGATCGTTAAGACCCATTTTACCTCTGTTTAATCTAAACAAAAATAACCAACACAAATACCCTTTAAACTAAGAAATTGTTATTCTGCCATTGTAGAGGGGCTCACTCTATCTGCGTATAGGGCGGTCATCACCCTAGCATCTTTGCTCCTCACAATCATTCATGGATTTTATGCTCACAACACCCCTGCCAGGAAGGGAAATATTATCCCCATTTCCAGATGGGAAACTGAGGCAGTGGGTAGACAAAGTCTGTGACTGGAACTGAACTCAGTTCTCTCCAGTCCTACTTAGTGCCTCGTCTACTAAACCGTCTTTCCTACCCTTGCTCAATCCTTTGCAGTCTACTCTCAAGATTATAGACAATTCAAATGCTATGAGCTTACGTGCCACTCAAATTATTTGAGTTGCATTTCTACCTGTCATGCTCTGTGTTGATAGAAAATCAGGAACTATAATGCATAATGTCCACCATGCTTTCTTAATGTCATGGCCCCTCTAGCTATTGTATTACATACACATTCTGTAACATTACATAGGAGATGTACATACAAAGTTTGTAAATGTTTTCTTCGAATGCGGTTTTAAAGTATATTCCCCTATAGCTAAACTAACGAGGACAGACACGGTTATTTATTGCTCATTCGTTAAGACATTGAAAACCAGAGCTAAGTCTCGGTTCTTTTAGTATGCCTCCACTCATGTACACCGCATTGCCATGTATGACATTGAGTCTACACTGCTAGACACCCGCTCCTACGCTCCCTATTCAGGCATTGTGGAGACTAGAGTGGAGAGCCCAAGGTCGGGCCCTGGGTCTTAAAATAAGCAGACGCTTTTCTTTAATTTGTAAATATTTGGGGATCAGCATTTACCTCTCTTCCGTATGGTCTTTAGAAATGCCCCCTCTTTGAACAATCCCTTGCGATTAATACAAGCGAGGGAGACTTCGAATCGCTTGCTTACAAATAAACGCATAATCGTTACCCCTCACCCCCACCCCCAGCAATGTGAGGGGCGTTAAGCCCCTGAATTATAAACTATCGCTCTGAAAACTGTTCAATCCACTCCGTTCCCTGTTGGCACTAACCCACCTACCGCGGTAGCCCCTGTGAGCAAATCGCACGAGGTTGCACAAAATAAATAACTCAAGTGTTGGCGACTGTTTTTATGACTTTGATTTTTACACTTTCCCCCCCTGGACTTGTGCCCCTTACAATGTATCTTATATTAAACCGTTTAAATACCGAGTACCGTGTACAATGACTGTAACAAGAGATCGCTTGTTAGAAGTGTTACATTCTCTTTTCACTTGCTGTGCTCCGTGGTAAAACTAAAGATGTTTTTTTTGCCGAACTGTTTTTCTGCCGGAGAAAATAATTACAAAATCAAAATGAACTGAAAACCATCCATTCAGTTCAGCACCACCAACCCCCCCCCCCCCCCCAGCAGTTAGCAGGTGTACAGATTTCTCTAAAACGTAGCAGATCCACTCTATCGACTGTCTATAGTCATTTAAAATAAAGCGCTTGTGTAGATATTTGCAAATGATTCCTCTGTGGATTACACACAGACACACACACAACGGAACACCGAGGAAATGTTTGCAAAATTCAAACCTATCGAATATCACAGGGACACGGCGCTGGGAAGCTTTTTACAAACGAAATCGACAAAAGCTTCAAATCACTGCCCCGCGATGCCGATGGAGTCGGGTGTTCAACCAAAGCTACCGCGTTTTCACTCTGCCGATGTCTTTGGTTTTTTTTTTGAATCTGCAACGTTTTACAAAATAAAATGTCAACCGGATGAAACGGTTCTAGGGTTACCGGAAAAGTGGTACATTTCTCGGCAGCTCCCAATGTTTGGTGTCAGAACACCCCCCCCCCCCCCAAAAAAGTGTCCGATTTTAAATACGGTTTAAAACAACCTGTCCCCCGTGCTGGCTGCAAAGAGATACTTGATGATGGTTATCGTCCTGTTCTTGTCTCCTGTCTTTGTTTTCACGGTTGATCTCCTGCAGGAAATTAGGGTCCCTTCTTCAAGCCCAGGTCCATCGGCACCTCCATCGCTTTCCCAGCCGACTACGCTTGGGCGTGTAATTGAGCCAGTGACTTGGGTTTATTTCGGGTGTCGTCCCCCGGCCCTTTCCCCAGGCTGCTGCCAACCCGTGCGGCCAGGGGCTGCCGGAGAAGCCCCCGCGGAGTGCACCTGGTGCAGGTCAGACCCTCACCGGGGGGCCGGAGAGCCAGCGCCCCCGGGCGCTTGCCGGTGGGAGGCGGCTCTCCCGGGGGCGGGGGCAGGGGGGGCACCGCCGCCCCGTTCCAGGGTGGCGCCAGCCGGCGGGGATGGATATAAGGCCGGCGGGCTGAGCCCCCGGGGGAGCTCCCCTCGCTCTGCTCCCCACCCGGCCAGCGCCTTATGAACCCGGCCAGCTTCTCCTACTTGCCGGCCATG